ACGAAAAACAAAACAAATGCCCCACCCCCGGGCCGACAAATTAGTCAATTTCAAAGAATGTACTACATTAATTACATGTGTTTTAACAATTTGTATTTATACCCCTGTTAATTGCTCTTTTGGGAATTTACAACAAAAAAAACAAGTAAAACTATCGTTTTATTTCAGATGAAAACATTGACGAAAGGCTGTGACACACTTGCTTTTATTGCAGAAAGTTTTTCATTGTAAATACAAGGAAGTTTAAGCTTCGCGTTTCCGGGAACGGCAAACGGCAGATTTGAACTTTCTTCGCAAAATTTTCGTTAAACGTTTTCGTTTCATATTTTCTTTCTTGTGTCGAAAGAATAGCCATGCATTGCGGTTTTAAAACAGCAAGTTCATTTACTCTTTATTGCCTGATACCGTAATTTTTTTCTTCGCCGGCTGGCGTTTGCCATTTGCCGTATAACGCGAAGCTTAAACTCTCTACAATATGTATAATATGGACTAAAGGAAAATCTTAAACATTGATTCACACTTGACAACCAACATTCAACTATAATATACTATATAAAATTTGTTTAACGTATTTAATAGTCTCCATTATGGCATACAACAAAGGAAACTTGTGGCCGCGGTCTTTTCTCTGTGAGCGACAAATGCCCGGGGGTAATAACCCGATATTGACAAATGCCTGGCCCTGGGCGAAAACACAGCTGCAAATGCCCGGCCGTGGGGACAAGTAAGCGTTACAAATGCCCCACACTGTCCCGGGGGGGGGGGATGGTCGCAGCTGGAATTGACTGATGCATTTGTGCTTCGTAGTTGGGTGGTGATCAAATGCTTCTGGGTTGGAATAGGCACTGCAAGCCAAACGAAACAAATTAAGATTTCCCATAATTCTCCGACACATTTGAACAGAAGTATGACCTACATATACATAAATTTGAAAGTTAAGCATTGGCATTTTATATAATAACTTATTGATTGGGACTGAAGGAAACAGTATGTTCATGGACGTGAGAGAGCCGATACCAAATAACACATTCAACTATTTTATTGTACATACCAGGTGGGAAAGAAAATTGGATATGGGTACAACCCTGAATAATTTTTCCACATATACATGGATAATTTAGAGTCTTCTTGTATTTGAAAAATACCCCAAGTATATTATAGAATAATTTTTACTTTATTCTTGCTTACCAGTAACATAGGTTTTCAAAGGTCGTACAATGTGGGTTTCGACATATTCGTCTAAGTCCAAGTTGTGTCCACTCTTCCCATTAAAGTTGACAGTAGAATTTTTCTTCACCATTTTTCTAAATGCCAGGGGCCATAAAGCGGTGAAGTTGACCACGTGGAAAAAGCCTCAGTCCAATAATTACGGAAATTTAGCTGAGCGAATATCGGAAGCATGATAACCCACACAATCTCTCGGAGATTTCCATCACCTTGCTTTCCAGCAGTGATAAACGGTTCAAGAAGTGGCCCAAACAATGTAAATAACTGCTGATGGTATTGATGGTTTTCATCAATGTCAGCACTTTCTGTCAACCATTTCTTAAATCAACCCAAGAGAATTTCGTTGTGGTTACCCCACTTGGTTAATGATTTCTTCAATTCATCGGCTGAAGGAAAATATGGTGATGAATGCAGCCATAAGTCCTTAACTGCAGCCATACCATAAGATTGATTGACTTCCATCTTGTACACTCTCTTTAATTCTATTAAGGTTTTGATCTTGAAATTTTCTCTTTTTATATGCTTCTTTGGTGAGTCTTGATCTCTTCATGACCACATTGACAACTTTGTGAAAACCACCACTGCCCAATGCTTTAAAAGCAGCTTCACACAAATAGCCTTTAGCATGCATATCACCGGGTATCTCCGCACACCAACCATATGCATTACCATCCCTATTCTTGACACTCCGGTTATTCTTACAGGTCCCAACATCACACACTACTGCTGTTGGAAATTCTTTGCACTCGGAACGTTTGTATGCAAATTTATCTGGAACATTGCTTCTGCTGTTGTTGTTATTACTGTTGCGCATATCATCGTCTTCAACAATAGATTCAGGTGTTGGCAAAGCAGCACCATCTCCCTGGATAACAGCAACAATGGGGGTTTCCAAATTCTTCGAGAATGAATTGAATAAATTGATTATTTCGTTTGATTCCATTACAACAGCCACTTTTAAAGGGCTTGGAAAGCTACCAAAGAGTTCACCCTGATATTCACCAAATTCGTCAGGAGAAGCTTGCACATTTCAAAATCTGAATTTATCACAGCAATCGACATTGGAGTTGCACCACAGCCCTCCTTTACATTAGGATTGGTACCACAAGCCAACAAAATGTTCACAAGCATATATTGTTTCTCTTCAACTGCTGCATGAAAAATAGTCATAATGATCCCTGCAGTCATTTATTTTGTTATTGCCCCATGACAATTCATGCACCATTTTATCCAAACAGCTATCATCATAGGAGTTTACAGTTTCTTGAGCTTGCTCAAGGAACTGTTTCAATAATGTGTGGTGAACTTATTATCATTGTGTTTATCAAAAAGCATTATTGTGGCATCATCGATATCACTATCACTGTCATCAGATTCGCCATCTACTTCTGTATATTGTACATCCGCCTCAGCGATGTATTTCTCGCCACTTGTTAACTCTTTCTCAAACGCCACCATTTCAGTGTGATGCATCTGAACTAATTTCATAAACGAATATCGTTTTCTGGCTGCCTTAAGGTCGAAATCCTTTTCCGTATTATCAAATTTAATGTATCCATTAGGTTTATCACAAGGAATATTAAATTCGGTTGCAAACTGTTCGAGTATTGATGCTATTCCTGTCAATGTTGAATTATCTTCAAGGGACAAAGGAAGATTGAAAATATCTGTCTTGTTTATAGACTGCGTGCTCTTGCAAAATTCATCAACCGGAGGGATCTTAACTCTGAATTTGACACATAATATCCTCTGCCCTTTCTTCAAATTTGATATTATGTAGCCAGTCATGGACTTCTGCCTCAGTCATTTCATTAATTTGCTTTGGTGGATCAGGAACACGGTTTAAACTTTTGTCTAATAATTGTAGATAATAATGATCGCACCATTTTTCCCACAACATTTTGTGTTCAGACATGGACTCTGTAAATTAAAATTAAAGCTTAAAATTAATATACAGGTACGATGTACAGCCAATGAAAATGGGTATTGAATTGGGGGTATAAACAAATCTTGATATTGACTATATAGTTTCTTATGCATAGCAACTTTCACCTGGGGCCGGTTGTTCAAAGGTGAGTTAGAGCTAACCCTGGGTTAAAATTTAGCCTGCTGTTTTAGTTTGTGTATTTTTACACATCTGTTTATTTTAAAACGTCAGAGAAGTAAACTCCTATTGATCCAGACAAGATCTCTGAAGAAATATTTCCAAATTTATAGACAAGCTGTCAGGAAGTTTGCTTTGAATTTTAGGTTAACCCAGGGTTAAGCTAACCCAGTTTTGAACAACCGGCTCCGGCATGTCTTAAAAATAACTGATGTCAAACAAAAAAATATCAGCTTTTAAAATAAGCTCAACTTTATATTAACCCTCTTGAAAAAGAAAAAAATATCAAAATGCATGTTATTCATTTTCCTCCGCATAAACCACTTACATAGGCAATTGTCCAATGTTATACTGAAAACTAATCCTCAAGTGACATGTACAAGTGACTATTATTCATTCTAAATTTGTTAACAAAATTCTGCACCCACATGCTTGTCGTGTTGTCTAGAAATAATTAATGTAGGAGGAATATTGGACAATTCGTTGGTTTGAATAAGTCAAATAATGAGATTCTAAAGAGATTCTTTTCTATAAATGCCCGGATATGCACCAAACTGGAAACTTATGCAACCCACTAATGAAGAATATTATTCCTACATCCCCCAACGCCCAGATTGGCTATAATGATGTGAAATATTTCCTTATGTCGAACGTTGCAGCTATTTAATAAATACACAAGTTGAAACATTTGTAACAACAGAAAAATTCATGCCTACACTTCTCTTTTCTTACCCAAAAAATATCTTCAGGCTTTATAGATGTAATATCAATTTGCGGTTGAGTTGTGGTTTCTTTACAAGTAATCATATCTGTCAAGTCGGGAATAATGGCAGCACAACCTGTGAAATTCTACATTTTTGGACCCACGTCTTGGAACAAACGGTCATGACGCTTTCGTCCGTGATACATATTGATGTTGTCCATTAGCAAAATAACTGGAGCTGTATCAATACATCTCTCTGAGATGGAAGCTTTAAGTTGATTCAAACGATGATCAAGAAAATTGTTTCTAAAAATTAACATAATTCATAATTAACATATATTATTTATGAACTTTTGGTTTCTTTTTTAGTCATCATGGATAACAGCCAGGATAACTACCAGAATAACACTGAAGGTAACTATTCCTTACCTAAGTATTTTCTGTTTAATTAAAACAGCTGCAGTGAAATTCCAACTGTGAAAACAAATTGGTTAAAATAGGCCATGTTTTTGGTTCTCTCAGATCGTCTTTTGGTTCTCTCAGAAGCAACAACCCCTTCATGGGTTGTTTTAACGAATGTCTTCTTTCCTTACAATATACCCTTCTATTTTTGCACTTTTACAGAACCTCCACCAGCTGATGAGATTACACAGAGTTACATACACAATGTCTTGCCAGTTAAAAAAAGCCTTAAACAACAAAAAATGGTACTTCAACTTTGTAGTTCAATATAAGGATAAACCATGCAAGAAGGGCTGTATGCTTTTTGCCAGAAAGGAGGTCAGAGGTACACACAATTGCACAAACGAAAAGTCCTGTCAAGATTGAAAACATAAAGTGCCAAAGCTACAAGCAAGATGACGACCTAACCCTGAAAAAAATTTCAAAAATAACTGCACTTGAGAAAATCGACCTCTCACAAGTTGTTGATGCCATCATTGTCTTCCCTTTCAAAACTAGCGAAAGAGCAACTTATCGCAGTGAAAGCAGAAGTATTCCAAATAAGTTGGGTCAAGCATATCAATTCAGATGTAAAGGGGGTATTTTGCACAAACAGGAATTTGTCATTAGAGATCCAACATCGTCAGCCAAACTCACGCTATGGGAAAAGTATCTGGGCTGTTTGGAGATTAACCAAACCTAGGTATTGAAAAATATAAGAGTGAAAGGATATGGGATGGATCGCTACTTAAACATGCCATGGTATGGTGAAACCCAGCAATGAAGCAACCAAACCGTCATCCAAACTGTCTCACAACGTTCTCAGAGATGTTATGGAATCACTTTCTGCAGAAATTGATCTCACAACTGCATCAGAAGACAACATAATCATTGCTTTTCTATCCACCAAGAAAGTATTCAAATTTACATTTAATAGTCAATATCAAATCCAACCTCGTTCCCAGGGTCTTTCTTAGAACGGCGCGAGGCGAAGGAAAGACCCTGGTTTCGGCTGGTCACGTGTCACCCAGATTCTGGGTGATAAATTAAAATGATACCATGGGCAGGGTGGGAGAGGAGCGTGTTTGTCGCGTTTGTAACAATATTTGCAATTCTGTGTGATGAAATTTAAATTTGCAACAAGAAATCGTGAAGAGAACT